ACTCAATGATTGAGCGAGGTGACCATGATAGAGCAAGGAAGAAGCTCCAAAATGTTTGAGGAATTGGTGACGTGGATGAGGAGTTCAACGATTTGGTGGCTGTAATAAAGAGTTGAAGCAAGTAGAGCATTTGGGTTCAGTTGCTGGGGAACACAATCATAGGATCGACTCTAATGGCCACCACATTAGATGTTGCTGTTTGCGCGCACAAGACTACCAACAATGATATGGAGCACATACAACATGAAGAAACTGCTTAATGATACTGTGTATGGAGCTCATGGTGGCTCTGAAATACATTATCCTCCTTGTCTTTTCTTTCTTTGCCACTCTCTCTCCATCAAGTTCATAGTGGCTCTGTTTCACTGCTATTATCATTTGCCACTGCACCAAACTATCCACGTTGTCTGATAACTTGAATAGCAATCATAAGGAGAGTGGGGGCTCTGCTGCTTCAAAAATGGGGGAAAAGAGGATACAAAGAACACATGAGGAGGAGGAGGAGGTGGAAGGAAGAGTTGTCATTGGATGAGGATGAGGAAGAGAGGGGGAGGACGAGAAGAGGGTAGGAGAAAGTAGAGAGAGAAGACTTGGATTGTTGGAGCTATTTACTAGCTTGCTTCATTGTTGGCCTTACTCTTGAGGTGTAGAATGTGATGAGTAGAGTAGCGTGTGTGAGCAGGGAGGGAGGGAGAGAGAGAGGTGAGTAGGGGAGAGAGAGAAGTGACGTGGAAGGAGGGAGAGAAGATTGGTCAAAAAAATATAAACAATACTAGGGGTGGGACCTATTAATGGTAAAAGAGAGAGATTTAATGTGAGGGGCACATAGATGCATATTTTAAAACTTAAGAGACAACTTTAATTTATAATTGAGTTTAGAGATATTTGTGACTTTTTGTGTTTAATTTCAAGACAAAAAATCACTCTTAAACCTAAACATAATGGCAGATGAGAAAATATTAAACACCTCTACTTTTCTTTTTTTTAAAAAGAACTTGTCAACTAATGAATAGTTCTTATTAAATGTGAATGAATATTTGTTAATTAATGAATATGGCTATTTGTTATTTGTTGAAACACGATACTTCCTATCCCTTCCTGCAACTAAGTTCTTTTACATTATTAAACTTATCAATTAGCAAACGATTTCTTTTTAAATGCAAATAAATACTTATTAATTAATAAATGGTTATTTGTTAAAATATGATATACAATTACCATTTCCTACAATCAAATTCTTTTAGATTTTTGAACTCATCAATTAATCAATAACCTTTATATTAAATATAAACGGATACTTGTTAATTTATAAATGACTATATGTTAATTAAAAAAAATGAAAGGAAGGGATATTATAATCTTTATTGATAATTTTTTTAAAATTAATTCTATGATCTTGCAATGATATTTTAAAATTTTTGATTTGTGATTGATATTAAATAGTTTCAGCAGTTTTTGAATGATAACATGAACGGATGCATGCTTGACATATCTATGCTGAATAAATTTTAAACATGGTTGCTCAATAATTATAGGCTATGTTATACTATTAGAGCCTACCTCGATAGTCCCATACGGCAAGTGGGGAAATTGAAACTTACGAGCGCGAATACGATCAACTTTGTGACACAATTATTTGTGAACAACATCAATTAATTAAAACCGTAACTGACGTAAGGCCTATGCCCGTACGCTCTCTGTTTATTTCTCCTAGAAAAATACGAAATTCATCCCGGCATGGAAATCAAAATGTCTGGTGTATTGGCCAAAACACACACACACACACACACACACACCAGCCTGGTGCCTTCTTCAATGAGCTTTGATTAGTTGAACCGCTCACAAAATTCCACTTCCGTATCTTTGCGTTTGAATTTTATCTCCTTGTTCCTCATTGACTTCAATTTCTTCAAAGTCCTCGGCCTTTCTTGAGTTGCAATAAAAAATAATAACAATACTGCATAGCGATCAAAATGTTAGTCTACTCAACAAAGATTTAATTTACGATATTGCACGATCAAAATTCAAATTTTATTGCTGTGAAGATTTTATTAACGGACGATTTATAAATATTCATGGCCAAATCAAACTAACAAAAGCAAAATATCTGCCGTATTGGCCAAACACACACACACACACACAACCTGGTGCCTTCTTCAATGAGCTTTGATTAGTTGAACCGCTCACAAAATTCCACTCCGTATCTTTGCGTTTTGAATTTTATCTCCTTGTTCCTCATTGACTTCAATTTCTTCAAAGTCCTCGGCCTTTCTTGAGTTGCAATAAAAAATAATACAATACTGCATAGCGATCAAAATGTTAGTCAGTCTACTCACCAAGAATTAATTTACGATATTGCACGATCAAAATTCAAATTTTATTGCTGTGAAGATTTTATTAACGGACGATTTATAAATATTCATGGCCAAATCAAACTAACAAAAACCACCCTTTTCATGTGCGAATGTATGGGTCCAAGTTCTTCAGAGTTTATCATTAATAAAATTCAGAAGGAAAAAAGAATGAAATGGTTTATCATGCATGTTTAATACAATCAGAATAATAAATAAATTAGTACATTTAATAAAATAAGGAGAAGCAAACCTCTGACATGTGAACATTTCCTGCTTTTGCGGCTAGTGGCCGTCCTAGCGTGTATATGAAAATTCTCCTTTATCCTTTCTCCTTTCTCTTTTTTTTTTTTTCCGACATTTTTTTCACGAGTCAAGAATCAAATACTAGCACTTTACGTAAATACGACATCACCGGAGTTTCATTTTTCTTTTTTTGGGCAGAGAGTTTCGACTTTATTGGCGGGGGATGAGCACCGTATATTGATACAGGATCTCTATTCATGGAGGAAAAGGGGGGAAAAAATACACGAATTGTAGTCGCAATTGTAGGTATTATCATCATCGTAATTATTCCCCTTAACCTAATCCAACTTTTGGAAAATGTTTGGGCCTGGAGAATCATTAAAATCACGTTCACATCTGGCTTTTTCGACCCTGTGGGTCCAACATCCATGAAGAATCCCCCAAACAAAGGCTAAATATAATATACTAAACCTTTTTAAAACAAAATTATCACCACATCATCCACACCATCAAAATATTATTAACATTTACTTATCCCAAGTTCAAGTACCAGATCTCCAAAAAAAACTTTTACCATAAAAGGTAAATTCTATCATCCGACGGCCTCTTGTCAATATGACCACCACACCTAAACGCCTAACCCTGCTTTGGTTGACTCAAGTCTCGAACTTGTTCTTTTCATTTCTTATTTCACAAGTCGCCATTTCACCCCACCATGAAAAAGCAGAACGAAATGCGAATTTCAGTGGAATCTGAGATGAATTTGGGGCCCGAGTTTTTAACCCTGGGAAATATTATCTAACAAAAGACCATGATGTCTTGTAATTATTTAAAGAGCGTTATTAATATGCTCCTGCCTTTATTATTATTATTTTTGACTGCCCTACTTTAATGAGTTCTTTTAACCATGCTTGTCTGATTGATTGCTTCGGGTCTATATTTGATGTCGGCTTGTTCACATAAAGGAAAAAGCTGTCTTGCTTTTGTTCAGTCTCTGGTTTCCCGGCGACAAGTCAGTTTACTCCCAACTTTGATCCCGACGACAATATTCTGCTACCTCAGTCCTGGGAATCAGAACTGACTGCCCATTTCCTGTTCGTTCCATCCCAGTTACTTCTCTATCTCTCCTGCCTTTTCTCCCCGACGTGGGCAGATATGGTGGCCGGAGGCTGGTTCTATAAGTCATATTTTCATCTGGCTTCTAAATACTGATGTGGGTTTCTTTTCCTCTTTCTGAGTTCCTTTGTCATTTGGAATAACTATTAAAGTGGTTCTGTGGGATTTTGGCTTTTGGGCCCAACAACAGTTTTTACTTGCTTTTACATGCTTTGGTGATGCCGATGTTTCAGCTGCAAAGTTCTGGTTTTGGCGCTTTCATTCTAGCAGAACAAGTCCACTCTTTTGGAATTTACTCCTAATCAAGACTGCTCCTACTGACAAGGGGGGTTGGTGTTGAGTTCCTCATCCTGCTCTTCAAAAGTTTCTGGGAGAAGGCTCAGCTTTTTGTTGATTCTACCCGATGTTATTGGACAACTTTGTGAAGGAAAGTAAAGGAGATTCTTCATCTTGGTGGTCGTTTTTAGAGAATTGTCAATCTGTGAAGAGCTTGGTGAGGAAGGTTAAATCTGGTAAAGAACGCCAAGTGTTGATTTTCTTGGGGTTATCATATTCATAGGTCGTCATGAAGGCTTTGCCGAATGGTTACTTGCCTAATTTGGCGAAGGTGTGTTTTCTGATGGCTCATTGTCTTAGCTTTTAGTTCTCCCCTCTCTGATTATGTGGTTGCAATTTCTGATGCACGGACCCACCTCAGTGACTTAATGGATGATTACGTTCAAGGAAAAGCTTTTTAATCTTTCTGGATTAGTTTTATTTCATTTTAGATCCAGTAAATTATCACAAGTTCTTTGATAGTTCATGTTCAAGAAAATAGGTAGCTGTTATTACATGCAGTAATTGGGAAATTTATCTTCGAATAAGTAACAGAAGGGTCTGTGGAAACAGCAAGCAGGAATGGGGGCGGGTGATTCATTTTGGCTTTATTTAGCGGATAGTAATTTTTTCTTTGATACTTTCGCTTAACTGAATCAACATTTTTGGGGTGGCTTATTGTCTTCTCTTTAATATGCAAGATGCGTCTCCTTTTAAAATTTTTCACCTTCTGCAAATTTTAGACTTCTCTGAATTAGTCCAACTCTCCAGTCCGACAGATTTTATTTGGGAATGGTTTCAAACTTCTGGAAATCTGCATTTGGTTTTTTGGTAGCGACTGTTGCTTCTGGAAGTTTATTTTGACTTTAAGATGAGCAAAGCGGGTTTTAGTTTAGCTGGAAACTTAGGCTGTATGAATCATCCATTTTATTTTTTTAAAATCATTTTGTAATTGATGGTATTTACAGTCCCATGGCTTCTCTGTTTTTCAACAAATCAAATGTGATGATTCTGACCATTGTGGTTGAAGCGTTAGTTGATGGTTGTATCTAATCTACAGATCACAAGATCAGGAGAATAAAAACTATTCTTGCAATGAGAAGGTCTTAGCAGATTATTTTAAGTTAATCTCCAGTGGATATTGCCTGTTAAGGAATTTTTTATTAACCTTTTGAAGCTCTGCACACTGCAGTTCGTTTTAATAAACGTTTTCTCTTCTATACTTCGCTTTATCAATAATTAATAAACATGGCCTCAAATGTTGCCCTCTGATATTTTATCGGGCTTTTCTGTCATGTTCAGGGCCAGGAGATAGAATTTTACTTTCTGTTGCTAGATGCTATTGTTTCAAGTTGTTAAATCAATTTTTTTTTTTTTTGTTTGGGAAGTACTTAAAAGAACAATCTATTTTTCTATCCGAGGGTCCTGAGTCTGTTTCTTGAGCTTTATTTTGTATTGCTGTAATGGGAGCCTTTGAAACTAATTATGATTAGTTTCACTGACAATAGTGCTTCTGAACCAATGCCGAAATCAAGTTTTCAGTTTCTTTGAGCTCCAAAAGCATGTCGTATTTGTTGTTTTTATAAATGTGATCGGAGTTTCTTACTTATTTTTATCATTATGATCATGATAAAGCATTCTGAGGAATGTTGCATATTGAGTTGACTTCTATCAATTTTTTTTTTTTTTCCATTTCTCATTTTCTATAGAATGGAGTAACATCACGTCTGTTTTGGTAACAGGGGAAAGAAAGACAATTAACTCGGAGTTATGGCATGCATGTGCTGGACCCTTGGTTTCCTTACCTCCTGTTGGAAGCCTTGTCATTTATTTCCCTCAAGGACACAGTGAGCAAGTATGTTGCTTATATCTTGATTTGGAGTATGTTTATTCTTCATTTTGATGTCTCTGAGTCTGATGGGTTTATTTTGCCCACTATAACTTTCAGGTTGCAGCATCCATGCAAAAGGAGGCTGATTTCATACCCAGTTATCCTAACCTTCCATCCAAGTTGATTTGCATGCTTCACAATGTTGCACTGCATGTATGTGGACTGGGTTTTCACTGTTTGCAATGTTGAAACCTTGTAGAAAAAATTATAATTTTGTAGATAGAGAAGATATGTATGCTTTTGTCTATAGTGAAATTATTTTGCTCAATTACAAGCTAATTTGTTAAGTTCTCCCTGAGATTTTGGGATCATCAATATTTTTTGGATAAACTAGTTTACTAATGATATTGTTTTTCGTTAAAAAAATTGACATTTCTGAACATATATCCAGAATTTATTATATTTGTTATTAGTTGCCACATCATGGATTAACAGTATGACAAGGAAGCAATACTGGCATCAGACATGGGTCTGAAGCAAAGCCGGCAGCCTGCTGAATTCTTCTGCAAAACTCTTACAGCTAGTGACACAAGCACTCATGGTGGATTTTCTGTACTCGTAGAGCTGCAGAGAAAATATTTCCACCTCTGGTGTGTATAACTTTCTGATTAATTGTGGCAAGATCAGGAAGAATTTTATGTAGCTGCCATTGGAGTATTCCCTTTCTATACTAACCGAAAAATGTTTCTGTTAGGATTTTCAATGCAACCTCCTGCTCAGGAGATTGTTGCCAAGGATTTGCATGACAATACATGGACATTCAGACATATCTATCGGGGTACTTCATTTTCACATTTTTTGATGCTATCTTCCTTTGATGAATTTTTGGGAATCATCTTGATGTATAATCAGAATCTTAATTTTATAGGCATAAATTTGTTGTCGGTCGTGCAACCATATTCTGGTTGTGATAAAACATGTCAAAAAACTAAAATTCTGAACAGCATTACTCTATAATGTTCCTTAACCTTGGAATCACGCCAGGAATTCTTCACCAAATTAGGAATGTGGATGATCTATTATTGACATTCTGAACACTTAAATGCTAAATTTGTTAACACATAAATTACAGGACAACCAAAGAGACATCTGCTGACTACTGGTTGGAGTGTCTTTGTCAGCACAAAAAGACTATTTGCTGGAGATTCTGTCCTTTTTTTTATAGGTAGAATGTCTATTTTGTTTTTATCAATTATCACACGTGCGCGCACATGTTTTGTGGAATTAGAAATATGTTGCTCCTCTCATACTGATCATTGTTTAATAGAGATGGAAAACAGCAGCTTCTTGTTGGTACAAGGCGTGCTAATAGACAGCAGCCTGCTCTCTCTTCATCAGTAATATCCAGTGACAGCATGCATATAGGCATTCTTGCTGCTGCTGCGCATGCTGCCGCAAATAACAGCCCATTTACCATATTTTACAACCCAAGGTACTACATCACATTGGATCATAACGTGAGATGACATCTTTTGATTATCTGTAACAGCCTCTTGTTGTCTTGGTTAATTTACAGAGCTAGCCCTGCTGAATTTGTTATTCCATTGGCCAAGTATAATAAAGCTATGTATACCCAAGTTTCCCTTGGAATGAGGTTAGAATGATGTTTGAGACTGAGGAGTCGGGAGTCCGTCGATACATGGGTACAATCACAGGGATCAGTGACTTGGATCCAGTGCGGTGGAAAAATTCACAGTGGCGCAATCTTCAGGTTTTATTAAAATGCCAATGTGCTGTGGAGAAAATTTTAGGGAGAATCGCACTTGGAGCCCTTGGAAGTGAAATAATTACATTGCAAGCCCTTTCAATTTTGAAATAATTGTCCAGGCCTAAGGGCTCTATTTGCAAATAAGATTTTTGCCGAAAAGATGGGAATGCCCTTAGTTTTCAAGTATATGTTTGCATATTTACTACCAAATGTTCATTTATTCACAAGTAGAGGTTCATATATTCACAACAACAAGTTCACATATTCGCTAGTAGCATAGGTTCGCATATTCACAATATGTTCATATATTCACAGCTGCAGCTTCACATATTGACAACTATATCACAAACAAGTCCAGATTCACAATTAGTGAATATGTGAACCTGTACTTATCAGTTAGTGAACATCTGGTAGTAAATGTGCGAACATATACTTTGCGAGGGGCACTTTCGTCTTTTCATTGAAAATCTTATTTGCAAAGAGGGCCTTTGGGCCTGGACAATTATTTAAGAACTGAAAGGGCTTGTAGTGTAATTATTTTGCTTTTGATGGCCCTAAGTGCGGTTCTCCCAAAATTTTATGTATTATTTTTTTTTTGGACAAAAATTTGATGTATTATTATAATAAATACCTTGGATAATGGAAAAATTATAATTCTGCTTGATTTCCTATTCTGTGGAACTGGTGACTTGAATACTTCCGTGTCTTACAAAATTATAATTTTGCTTTGCGGAAAAAAAAAGCAGTGAACCTCTGTCTTAGCAATTTAGCTTACAAAAGCTGTTAAAATTTTAATTTTTGATAGGTTGGATGGGATGAATCAACAGCTGGTGAGCGCCCGAGCAGAGTTTCAATTTGGGACATTGAACCTGTAGTAACCCCTTTCTACATTTGCCCGCCTCCTTTCTTCAGGCCCAGGTTCTCCAAGCAACCAGGAGTGCCAGGTGGAATCCTCCCTACAGTCCATTTAATATGGAACAACTTCTAATAATATTTTTTGCATTACACTCTGGTAAATCTATGATTCAGTAGCTTGGTATACTGATGGACCACATGAATTTGGTTACTAGTCCAGGGGATATGTGATTGGCATCAGTAAACTGCATGATATAGAAGATTAAGTCGTGGATCAAATAATTCATTATCTGCATTAGGGCTGAGCCTTTTAGAAAAAGAAAATTGGTACTATCTGACTTCATGTGAGTTTACTTGCTTAGACATATCCTTCTAACTATCATTGCAAATAAAATAATAGTAGTTCTGCACCTGAGATTTGCAGTTCTTATTTCTTGTTTAATAAGTAATTGCCTCATTCAGGAAAATAATATAATTACCTCTATTATATTCTTGTATGTGCCGAAACTACCATTCAAAAAGCCTTTATGACATTCCTTTCCTTTTGAGTCCATCACTTTTGATGTTGTGCACAGTAATAGTGTTGACCATCCCTTCGATCTCTTTGCAGATGATGAGTTTGACATGGAAAATGCATTCAAGAGAGCTATGCCCTGGCTTGGAGATGAGTTTGGAATGAAAGATGCCTCAAGTTCAATGTTTCCTGGCTTGAGTTTAGTTCAGTGGATGAGCATGCAGCAGAATAACCAGATTTCTGCTACGCAATCGGGAATGTTCCCATCTTTGCTCTCATCTAACTCCCTTAATAATAACGTCAGCACTGATGATCCATCGAAGTTACTGAGTTTTCAAAACCCTGTCCTCTCTGCATCAAATCTTCAATTTAACAGACCAAATTTACCAAACCAAGTCAACCAACAAGCCCCCACATCATGGCCTCAGCAGCAGCAGCAGCAGATGCAATCTTTGTTGCAAGCGCCTGTAAACCAGCTCCAGCAGCAGAGGCAGCAGGCACCGGTCCAGCCCCAGCCACAGCAGCTTCCTGAGCCACAGAACCTCACACAGCAGCAGCAGCCACTGCCCCAATTGCAGCAACAGCGAGTACAACAACCACAACAGCAGCAACAACAGTCATGCCAACAGGCCATTATACACAACGGGGTAATTGGTTCTAGCCAGATTCCAAATCAGAATGTGCCACAACCAATAGCCTACTCTCAGCTTCAGCAGCAGCAGCAGCAGTTACTCTCAGCCAGCATGCCACTTCAGCAAAATATTCAATCGGCTAGCAAGAATACATTCCCACTTACAACCTTGCCACAAGATTCACAGTTTCAGTCACAGCTAGACCAGCAAGCTACTCTCTTGCAGAGGCAGCAGCAGCAATCCCAATTGCAGTTATTGCAACAAAGCTTGTCCCAGAGGGCCCCGCAACAACCACAAGTGGCTCAATTACCACAACAAAACCTGTCAGAACAACAGTTGCAGTTACAGTTTCTACAAAAATTGCAGCAGCAGCAGCAGCAATTTCTTTCTCCGACTAGTTCAATTTTGCAGCCTCAGCTGCTACAGCAGCAGCAGCAAGCACACCTACAAAATCAGCAACTACCACAACCGCCTCTATCTCAGCATCAGCCTCAGCCTCAGCAGCTCAGCAACAATGCTTTATCTGCAGAGAAGCTTCTGGTCAGCAACAGCTTTTCTTCTTCACCTCTGATACAACCACAACAGCTTCCTTTGAACCAAGCTCATAATACAGCGAAACCACTTACAACTACCAGAGCTCCCTCTAGTCTTACAGATGGAGATGCCCCTTCATGCTCCACCTCGCCATCAACTAATAACTGCCAGTCAGCAAACCTCCTGAAGAGAAATCAACAAGTGCCGGCAACACTAGGGGGGAGCTTGGTAGTTGAGCCCACTAATAATCTGGTACATGAGCTGCAGGGCAAGTCTGACATCCAGATCAAACATGAGTTGCCAAGTGTAAAAGGGCCTGACCCGCTTAAGTATAAAGGGACAATAACTGATCAATTGGAAGCCTCTTCTTCTGGAACTTCTTACTGCCTTGATCCTTGCAGTGTGCAGCCAAACTTCCCCCTTCCAAATTTCTGCATGGATGGGGATGTCCAATCGCATCCTAGGAATAGTCTTCCATTTTCCTCTAATCTTGATGGATTAACACCCGATACCTTGCTCTCGAGAGGGTATGACTCACAAAAAGATCTTCAAAATTTGCTCTCTAACTATGGTGGTGCTCCAAGAGATATAGAAACTGAGCTGTCAACTGCTGCTATCAGCTCACAGTCATTTGGAGTGCCAAACATGCCCTTTAAGCCTGGCTGTTCAAGTGATGTTGCCATTAATGAAACTGGGGTTTTAAATAATGGCTTATGGACTAACCAGGCTCAACGAATGCGAACATATACTAAGGTTTGTTAATTTGTACAAGTGCATACAATACAAGTTCTTGATATTAACATATTTGCTGAATTCACACCTCAATTTTCATTGCAATTCATATAAGTAGGACTGTCATACAATGCAAAGAAGGTACAAATTGAGCGGATAACTTTTTTTGTTCTTCTGATTTTAGTAGGTCATTTGCTTGAGGTACACCATCAATTATAATCCACATACATATTCACTTACTAACTAATGTCGTTTCTCCCCTTCATTTCCTTTCTTTCTTTCTTGCTCAATACTTAATGTTTGTCATCCATGCATGTCATGAATTTTTTCATTACTTAGTTCAGTCTATGAGGATTAATTTTAACTTTAGTTGGCATCTTTTCCTTGATTTAAATAATACACTAGTCAGCTTTGTGTTGGGCTTCATCATTCTTGTGATTGCCTGGATGCAGTGCCGCCCTGAAATCACTCGCAGTTTGCATTTTGTGGTTTACTGTATACTTTCGGTAGTAATGTCAAAAGCTTAACGCTGCTTTAAAGTGCAGGTTCAAAAACGTGGCTCTGTTGGAAGATGCATTGATGTCACTCGTTACAAGGGATATGATGAACTCAGACATGACTTGGCTCGTATGTTTGGGATTGAGGGGCAACTGGAAGATCCTCAAAGGACTGATTGGAAGCTAGTATATGTGGATCATGAAAATGACATTCTTCTTGTTGGGGATGACCCTTGGGAGTAAGTAGCCAATACTTCCTGGTTTGTTCTATCATACTTTTTCAGGCTTGTTTCCTCAACTGTTCGCCTCAATTTTTTGCAGAGAATTTGTAGGCTGTGTTCAGAGCATTAAGATATTGTCATCTGCTGAAGTGCAGCAAATGAGCTTAGACGGGGATTTAGGTAATGTTCCGATATCCAACCAAGCTTGTAGTGGGACAGATAGTGGTAATGCATGGAGGGGACAATATGATGATAACTCAGCCGCCTCATTTAATCGATAAGGATGTCAGAGCAGTCTACTTGTATATTTTGAAAGCCGGAGGACCAACTTTGTCCTTGACAATTCTGCTCATTGTCTTGCCTCTCTGTGACTGTGACTGTGACAGAAGAAAGGAGCCATAATCATTTCAAGTGATGCTGGTGATTAGGTATAGTAGAAGATTGTTGTCCAAATGGATTTTAATGGGGAGTTTAGGATCTTAGATGTAGAAGTAGCAGATTCGGTTATTGTTTAAATGTTGTTACAGACCTTACCTTGAATCTGCTTTTCTCGTAGCTGCTGTTTTAGGAAATTTTTTTCCCTTGTTGCTAAATGCAGCAGCAGTATAGGCCAAGTAGTGTATAATAGATGGTTCTGATATGAAATTATTTTTGGCTTACACTTCACACCTCTGTAAATCATGTGGTAAAAGTGCAAAGATGTTGTAACCATAGTGATGACTCGGACAGTTGACAATGGTTGAGAATTCTAACTCTTCTAGGAGTGACCAGGTTGTTTCATTGGCGTAAATGTTGGAGAAGTGCATTGTGGATGAGGAAAGAGCTGGTTGTTTTTGGCCCTTCGTCTTCTGGGTGTTGTGTGCTAAGTCTTGCAGTTGACTTGCATTTATGTAGAAGATATATCCCGTACGAACTACTTAGTGACTATATCAATTATAATTACTAATCTTGTGACAATATTTTAGTTTTATTTTTTTAATGTATATCTTTCCTTTATTTATTGGAAAAAGCTTATGACCGTATACCAAAAGAAGTGCTTTGGAAAGCGTTGGAAAAAAAGAGAGTACGGATTGCTTATATTAAAGCCATACAAGATATGTATGAGGGGGGTAAAAACTAGTATAAGAACGCCTAGTGATCAAACAAAGGATTTTTTCTATAAAGATTGGACTACATCAGGGATCATCTCTGAGTTCTTATTTGTTCAACTTGATTTTAAATGTTTTGACAGAACATATTCAAGAGGAAATTCCGAAATGTATGCTCTTCGCGGATGATATAGTTCTTATAGCAGAGACAAGAGAAGAGGTTAATTGCAAACTTGAGTTATGGAGGAGGATATTGGAGTCGAAAGGTTTTCGTCTGAATAGAAGTAAGACGGAATATTTATATTGTAAATTTGGTAAAGGACTATTCGAAAATAATTTGAAAGTGAAATTGAGAGATCAAATTATACCTCAAGTGGAAAAGTTTAGATATTTGGGAGCCATTATTCAAAATGATGGCGAAATCAGTGGAGATATTTCACATAGAATTCAAGCTGGGTGGTTTAATTGGAGAAAAGCTAAAGGAGTTATTTGTAATCATAAGGTGCCTAATAAACTTAAAGGAAAGTTTATCGCACTGCTATCAGACTGGTAATGTTATATAGTAGTGAATGCTGGGCTCTAACGGGACAGTAAGAGCATAAAGTTGGAGTAGCAGAGATGAGAATGTTACGATGGATGTGCGGACATACACGTAAAGATAAAATTCAAAATGAGTACATACACGAAAAAGTGAGGGTGGCACCTATTGAGGAAAAAATGGTAGAAATCGGTTGAGATGGTTTGGGCATGTACAAAGAAGATCAAGGGAGGCACCAGTGAGAAGAGTGGAACATATAACTTTGAGTCCGATTAAAAGAGGTAGAGGAAGGCCTAAGAGAACACTCTTGGAAGTTGTTGAACGCGATCTCTTAATTAATAATATTCCTAAAAGCTTGATAAATGATAGAGCACAATGGCGTCTTGCAATCCATGTAACTGACCCCACCTAGTGGGATAAAGGCTTGTTGTTGTTTTTCCTTTATTTATTGGGATATCATAATAATCTCCCTTTTAGTTGAGTTTAAATGAAAAACCAATTCATTTTAATGAGAACGACGAAAACTTTTTTATCCAAAATTAACATAACTTACCCCTATTCACCAAAAACTAAAACAATTCTGCTGAAATTTTTGTTAAGAGGGAAAAGATTTTATTCTCTTTAATCGAAACTTTATGCAGAAGGAATGTTTCGTTTTCCTTGGAGGAAAAAAAAAAAAAAGTCTTCTCTCAACTTCATTTAACATGATTGTGTTTAGTTAATATATAGTACTCCTCAATCTTAATTTATAAGGTGTTTTTAAATAAAATCATACGAATGGAATTTAATTTCATGATAAAAATATAATTTTTTAAAAATATCCTTAATATTTTATTTATGAAAGAATATTAAAAAAAATATGTGATGAGAAGACCACATTAAAAACCATTTAATAAAATTTATTTATATCAAAATATCTCATTTTATGACGCTAAATCTCTCCAAAAAATCTCTTATAAAGGAAGACACAGGTCGTGATCTGTTTTATTGTGTATTGGAATCATATGATTAACTTCTAAGAAAACAAAATACAGTTCTCCCTATCGTCAAACCCATTCATATTCGATAGTGAGTGGTGGCTCGGTACTCATAATAGGTATTAATCTTTCAATAACTAATATATGGTACAATACAACTGCATTGAAAGTTTGAGACACATGCCCCAAATGCAGGAAGCTTCTTGACATGAATAATCATTATGGGCATTACAGGCGCTTTTTTTATTTCGGCCCCGGGATGGGTATTATGAGCTGATAACACATAAAACTGACTTCCGCACAACGTTTTCCAAGCCTTGGTCTTCCGAGAGCAATAAAAAACCGTTTTGAACTTTGAAACACAATGTGAAGATAAAAACTGCAACAAAAACGAATTCATAACATCTAACAAGAAACGTTTTCCAAATACAAGCAGCAAAATTGCAATCAACTATATTTCAAAGTCGTTACAAAAAAAATTCCATCGTCCTCAAAACAGCTACAAAACATTTATAAAGAAAAAGTAAGTTATCATGCACGAGTAGATAACACTAGGAAAGAACAGCCATGACATCTGAGGCCCTCAACGCAATGTAGTCAGAACCATCCTTGCCCTTGAAGTCATTCCCCGCATATTTGGAGTAGAGAACAGTGTTTCCAGGATTAACGGGCAACGGTTTTCTGTTGCCTTCCTCATCTAGAGGCCCCGGTCCAACTGCTATCACCTGTAACATCCAAAGCAGAACAGATTATGACCGACCACTACAAACTATGCAGCAAGATTACAATGTTCTCGCTCTAAAAACATTAGCGCCTAAATTTTACCAAAACACTGTCTACGCAAAAAATTTTCTTGTGATAACTTTACAATCAAGTGAGGAAGTATACCGTTCCAATAGATGGCTTCTCTTTCGTTGCCTCTGTTAGTAACAACCCCCCTGCAGTTTTCTCCTCAGCATCTGCAACCTGAGTCAACATTTAGTTAATTGATGCATACCATTGTCATTATTCCACAAATCCAAAATATGGCAGAAATGAGTATTCTTAAAAGGAAACACGCATAGGAAAGAAAAAAACTTCAGGTTAACAAAAACTACGGAGAAGTTCGCCAAAAACATATGCCTAGAAGATAAGTCCATTTCCTGATAGATTAATAGAAGACCCAATGTCAAGCTTCAATTTTCATCCAATGACAATATATAAAATGCTCTAAAAAGGGTGTACCTTGATCAATACTCTATCATTCAGAGGTTTAAGATCATTGATATCATCCGTTTCAAGGATACCAACAATGTCATCATCCTTCAGTATAAGATGCTTTGAACCATTAAACTCCACCTCAGTCCCTGCATATTTTGAATACACAACTTGTGCACCAGTCTGTAGAACGAAAATGCATGGCGTCAATTAGAAATATAGCAAACGTCCTCAATGACACCAAAAAGGAAAAATTAATGTGAACAGATAGGCACCAAAAGGGTTAAACCTTATTATAACAACAATACCTTCACTGCAATGTCAACTTTGCTTTTCCCAACTGTCTTCCCCTCTCCAATAGCTACCACCTCACCACCTTGAGGCTTTGTTTGAGCAGTTGTGGGAAGCAAGATCCCACCATCAGTCTTCTCTTCAGAATCCTTAATTTTTACCAGCACTCTGTCACCCAAAGGCTTAATTGAGGTGTACTACACAAAATAATTACCAATCAGCCACATGTAGCATAAATCAGGGAGAAATAAAGTCCAGAAACAATGTAGACAAGAAAACAGATCATATATACCTAAATAGTTAGGTTAAATTATAAAGGAAATCAAATCTGCCACAGCATCGATTTATTGAACATAGACCTGGTAAAAATTCACTTAACGTTCTCTACTGTGTTCACTGTTCACCTGCAATTGGATGCAGGGTTGTCCCATCTATTTACTCGTTTGGGGGAAAAATTAAGATAAAGAAGACAGAAACTGATGATGGTCTTGTGGAAATAGATGATGTTTAAGTAACAAGGCACGTGTGTTTATCTACAATTTGTATCAAAAGTGCAACCAAGCAAGCATCACCATGCATCCATCATGCGCAGGTAATTAATAAGCTGAATCCCGACCGACTCTTTCAACAAAAGATGTTAACAAAGAGACTCATAACTAATGCTTAACCTTCGCAAAGCAAAAGTGTTACATAATAATACGAAAGTCAGAGCATCATGCTGAGAGTTAAAATTGGACAAGCTGGAGTTTATAAATACCAAGTTACCATGTAGCAACTACAGGAAAAGAAGTACATATAAGATTTGTGAATTACAAAATTGAACCACGGAAAACATCCATATCTAAAAAGTCACATTGTATAGCAACCCCGTCTCTGCATAACCGAGGCAATGTCGTAAGTAGGATGAACTATAGAGGGCCAATGCAGCACGCAAGAAAGAGTATTAACGATTACAAACAGAAATTTACAACTGCGGCCATAATTGTCCAATCAATATTTACAAAAACAACTTGAGGACAACAACAATATACCTTGGGCGCAACAACAGTTGCGGCTTTAACAACCAAGCCCCGGAACGACCTTTGAGTGAGGCCACCTATTCTTACGTGTCTGATCGCAGAACCTGAACCATCGAAGGTCGAAGACTTCCGAAGGAGGGCAAATTCATGGTAGAAAATGATGATGCTGTGAGCTGAGCGGTCGCCATTGGAAAGTCTACTGCCTCGCTGCCCACAAAATCATCAGAAGAACACAGGTTATACAATCATACTCCACTTAATGGCGGGGAGCAAGACAGAAAAGGGCTAGAAAAAAGAAAACTCGCAGCAGAATCACCAGAGCTAATTTTCGGCATTTTCCAGGAAGCAAGCACATGAACCAAAAAATTAAAGGCATGAAGCTTTGAAACATAGGAGAATAGGGGAAGATAATACCTTGATCGGAAGGGAACTTGGTATAGATTCTGATTTGCGACCGAGCTTTGAGAGTGGAGGAGTGAAGGCGTTGAAGAAATGAAGATAAAACCCTATAAGGATTGGGGTTTTATCTGATAGACCCTTCTAGAATTCTCACGAGCGGAGGGTGACCGAGCAGGTATCGAGGTCACTCGGGCAGCCGGGTCGCACCGTTCTAGGTTAACAAAGTTTTGTTTTGTTGTTTTTGTTGTTTTGTTGTTTTTTTTTTTTAAAGGTAAGCATTTGAAAGCAATATCATGGGTTTATCTTTTTCTTATTGAGGATTCCCCTCTAATCTTTCTTTTTTTCTAAAAAAAAATCTTATACATTATAAAGATTTGAATTCGGGACTTTTTCATCCTAACATATTAATCTATTTCTTTTTTTCCCTACAAATGTTAACCCATTCTTA